GCCAGCACATTCCGTCCGCGCATTATTGTTGGGTCAACCACCAAAGACAAAGGTTCCCCGTGTAGCCTCAACAGACTGCGGCGGGCGAGTTCTGGGCGTGGGTGGCCAGCAGCGCCCGGCCGCCTTTGTCTCCCTTTGTGGCGATGCTTACACACCACCGCAGCAGGTACTCGTTTGAGGCCGAGTCGACCTAGAGGAGGCCCAGGACCGGTTCAGATAATCGTCACTGGTGTTGGCCGTGAGCGGGAATCGAACTGGGGTAGCTGGGTTCGTAGCGCAGCGCGCTAACCGCTACACCACCGCTCCCCATCAGCACCACCATCACCACCACCACCTCCATCAGCACCACCACCACCTCCATCACTACAACCACCACCACCATCACCACCACCACCTCCATCGCCACCATCATCACCACTATCACCACCACCATCACCACCACCATTACCACCACCACCTCCCTCACCACCATCACCACCATCACCACCACCTCCATCACCACCATCACCACAATCACCACTACCCCCATCACCACCATCGCCACCATCACCACCACCTCCATCACCACCATCGCCACCACCATCACCACCACCATTACCACCACCATTACCACCACCACCTCCATCACCACCATCACCACCACCACCTCCATCGCCACCATCACCACCACCATCACCACCACCATCACCACCACCACCATCACCACCACCACCATCACCACCACCACCATCACCTCCATCACCACCATCACCACCACGATCAATGGCCCAGGAATTTCCACTTGGGGCCAGCTGCAGGCAAACTCCTAGCAACAACAACGCGGCATCATCATGAGAATTTGTTATATTTTATTGACGCTATTTGCTGCTGTTCCTCATTATCTGCCATTGCAATGGGTTAACGCAAACGCATCCTTTTGGGAACAAAAAAATGTGTTTTATTTTTAACACACGCATATAATGTATAATACACACGTGTTTATAATGTATTTCTTGTTCATGTTTTTGTTTTGTTGCGGTTGCACCCGAGTCGAGAGCCGCATGGCTCACAAGGTTTCCCTAATAAATAAAAACTGAAACAAATATATATGTACATGTATATAATGTCGGCTCACGTCACTGCTTTGTCGACGAAAATCGTGGATTTGTATTTATGTATACAGGCAGGAACAACAGGTTCCACACTGCCCACCAGGGATTACACTGGTCAACAACAACAAAACATTTTTCTGGCCTGGACTTTTGCAGCTGCTTTAGACTAATTTCAGGGTGCTGATTCCAAATCTGATCTCAGATTTGCTCTGTCACATCTCATTTTTATGCTATCGGCATACCCCGTTTTCATTGATTTTACCCGAAATTAACTCTGTCACTTATGATTGCAAGTTGTTGCGAGTCAGTGACTGCTTTAGTGTTAAAATATGGTGCTGTATTTTTAGGATAGTGTGTGTATAATATCATTTTATGTAGATATCCACATTTATTTAATATTTTTCTTCTGCAGTTTTTATTGAAAATGCAATATTTTATATCTCAATAACCTGATGTGATAGACAGATTTGGAATCAGCACCCCAAAATTACATTAAAACCGTTGGAATACCTTGTGCCAGAAAAATAAGTGTGTTGATCAGTGTAATTTGTCTGTCGTGCATATCCGGAACTCCGCCCACCCATGGCACCTCCCCACCGAACACCGATCTACGCCGTGATTGGTTGACGATGTCGGGGAGGGTGGGGGGGTAAACACTCATCCAACTGCCCCCCCCCCCCCTGAACGCCGCGCTGTCCAACCAAGTTCCTACCTGCCCACTCCGAAGGAACGTGTTAAACTTCGCATGCGCGAACGTATCATCTCGCGTGCAGCGAGTGCGCGACACACGTGTGTGCGCGCGTGCCAAATTAATGTATTTATTTACAACCCGGGAGAGAGAAAAAAAGCCACGTGGTGTTCACGTGGAGTGTGCAAAGCATCGCCACTGGGGAAACAGCACGTGGCCGGGCGTGGTGTGTTGGCCACCCACCCCCTCGTGTGCTACGACTCGCTAACGGCACTTGCCCCAACAGGCTGTCGAGGCTATACGGGGGGGGGGGGATCTTTGCCTTTTGTGTGCGCGTGCACGAAGCCCGCGACCCGAGTACCGATTCCCGCTCACGGCCAACGCCAGTGACGATTATCCGAACCGGTCCTGGGACTCCCTTTGGTCGACACGGACTCAAATGAGTTCCTGGCGTGGTGCGTAAAAACATCGCCGCTGAGGTGCGGGCCAACCGCGCTCATCGGAGTTGCGGGTAGAGAGAGGGAGAGGGGGGGAGGGGACATCAAACACAAAAAGCAGTTCTAAAGAAATGAGTTTGCACATCTAGATGATGACGATGATTTTAAAATTGGGGAGTCTCCAGGCGGCTTCCTAGCATCGGAGGCAAGAGCGTTCCAGACGGCCGCAGAGGCGCAAACGTGAGAGCGCGCGACGATGTGTGCAGGGGGAAAACATTCCTGCGGAGGGTGCTGGTAGGAACGTTGGGTTGCTCGGTCAATGGCCTGCAGGGTCAACGGCGGCGTGGTGTATTCCGCAAATATGCCTGACTGAGGGCGGGCACAAGCCGGCGTGAGTAGGTTAAACGTTGAGTTTTATAAGGGCACCACGGGGTGACCAGCCCCTCCCCACCAAGCCCTACCCCCAACCCAGCCCCACCCTCCCCACCCAACCCCTCCCCACCCATCCCCTCCCCACCCTCCCCACCCAGCCCCTCCCCACCCTCCCCACCCAGCCCCTCCCCACCCTCTCCACCCAGCCCCTCCCCACCCTCCCCTCCCCACCCAGCCCCTCCCTCCCCACCCAGCCCCTCTCTGCACGACGGACGGACGGACACAATAATCCCCTGTGGGCTGGTGGAACCAGTGGGTTCCTACCAGTATTATTTTCATTTTGCGTTCGACGGGAGACGGCGACAGTGAACGGGGCGGTCTCGTCTGGGCGGTCCGCTCGGCTGGAGGCTTCTCGAGATGCCGGGTCGAGAGATTTGGCAGCGCCCCCCGCAGCGGATCGCAGTGGGTCCGCAGGACCCCCGGGGCAGCTGTGGGGGGGGGGGGGGGGGGGAGAAAAGAGCTTCATGGCTCATCGGATTTCTCGATTGCGATTCCGACTCGCTGCGTCCCGCGGTGCGCGACTCTCACAGCCATCGTCGCACGTGGGAGGGGGTCCCATCCCACGTCTCGACCCCCACTCGGGAAGCTGGCGGCCACTGCATCACCATCACCCTCCACACCCCCCACCCCGACCCCGTGTCCCCGTTCGGTCGTTTCGCTCGTGGTCACAACAACAACCAGCAGCTTCATCAGGCGGTTTGCCAGAATTGTGAGGAAGTCTTCCTGCTTCCGGTCTTAACTAGAGGAGGAAAGGTGATGTCACCACTGTGGTGAGCCTGCCAGGGTGTTCCCCCCACCTGCTCCGGAGTTGCCCCGACCTCCACATTTAGAAACACATCGGGCGTTGAGTCTCCAAGTATTCGGGCTGCTGCTGCTGCTATAGATTTCCGCGTGATAATAAGCCTACTTCCGTTGAGCTATCATTTGTGATGACCAGGTCGCTTCTGGATAAAAAAACCAGCGCTACATAGCAGCTCAGCGGGGACCTTAAGTGGTAAAAAAAGAAAAATCTAGATTTAATACCTACGTGACTTTACCGAAAGAACCACAGCGTATGGTAAAAAAATATCCAGATTTTATACCGACGTGACTTTACCGAAAGAACCACAGAGTATGGTAAAACAATATCCAGATTTTATACCTACGTGACTTTACTGAAAGAACCACAGAGTATGGTAAAACAATATCCAGATTTTATACCTACGTGACTTTACCGAAAGAACCACAGAGTATGGTAAAAAATAACATTACACGTTGTTGAGTTGCAGGTTTGGTCTTGGGTCAAATTCAACGCGAACCCGCAGCGAGCGATCTGCCACGTGACTGCCCCCCCCTCCAACTCCACTAAAAACTTGGCCCCCTCCCACCCACGACTCACGAACACATCCTCCCTCCCTCCCCCCAAGATGTTGAAGACGCTGTACAGAAACAGGGGGTGGGTGGGTGGGGTGGGGTGGGGGGGATGGGTGGCGAGTATTTAGTTCATAGACACGAGAAGAGGGCAGCCGGTCGATCATCAGGCAGAGCAACATGGGGGGAAGAAAGTCAAAGTGCTGACGAGCCCTGCACTTGGGAGACGGCATGGATGGCGGTGGAGTCTCCCTCCCATCCTCCCCTCCCTCCCATCCTCCCCTCCCTTCCATCCTCCCCTCCCCCCCCATCCTCCCCTCCCCTCCCTCCCATCCTCCCTTCCCCCCCACAGATGTCCGGGAACGGCGGCGGGGGAGGTCATAAAAGTCGTCACCGCACGGGACAAAGAACACATTCCTGCGGAGGGAGCTGGTAGGAACGTTGGGTTGCTCGGTCAATGGCCAGGGTCAACGGCGGCGTGGTGTGTTCCGCAAATATGCCCGACTGTGAGGGCGGGCACAAGTTGGCGTGAGTAGGTTAAACGTTGAGTTTTATAAGGGCACCACGGGGTGACCATTCCCTCCCCACCCAGCCCCACCCCTCCCACACCCCACCCTCCCCACCGAGCCCCTCCCCACCCAGCCCCTCCCCACCCCCCACCAGCCCCTCCCCACCCTGCCCCTCCCCTGTGGGCTGGTGGAACCAGGAGGTTCATATCAGTAAAACCCCGCTGCTCTGAGAACAGCAGAACTGGTGTTTGTGTTTCGTTCGCTGTCCTTCCCCCACGGCACCCCCCCCCCCCCAAATCCGGTGCGAAATAAGTTCAACGCACGTACACACACCGCACCTCCGATTAGCACGGTTGGCTACGTACGGTGCGATAGAAGTTCAACACACGTACATTACACACGTGACCAGCACCGGGCAGCACACGCCTCGCACACTCTGCGATTGTCGGTGTTGGCAGTGTGTCAATCACCACACGCACACGCAATGTTTCTTTGACACGGAGCTTACGCAGCTCTTTTTAATTTCAGAAGCGACCTGAGCCATCACAGATGACGGCTCATCATCATCATCATGTGGAAATGTATAAGCAGCCAAATATTATAAACTCGTGATGTTGATTCTAAATGTGGAGAGGGGGGGGGGCACAACCGGAGGACTCGGATATCCAGGCGACCACGGGGAGAGAGAGACACTGCAAACTCAAAATACACAGCAGCAGGCGTCAGGGTCGAGATCGAACCCACGACCTCCTGTATACGAGGCGAGGCAGTTAACATCTCACCACCGTCGGTACAGAGAGTGTGTGCCGAGTGGGAGACTCTCACGAGCCACTCGAGGACCTGGATTTTAAGTCGCAGGCGTCCGCAATCCATCCTGGGAAAGGGATGACAACTCCCACCGGCGTTGAGACACGAGGGGGGGCCCCCACTGTGAGCCCCCCCCACCCCCTCCCATACCTCTTCCGGGTCTAAAATATAAAACAAACCCACAACGTTAATTTCTCTATCGTGTAATGGAAACAACAGCAACAACAAACCGCGTGCGTGCATATTTCTTTGTGTTTTTTCTTTACAAAAATAAATCCACAAGCGGCCGCTGAGAGAGCAACTTCCTCCCCAGCAGCACGGGGCGACTCCGCGTGAGTCGCGAAGTGCCACAGCCAGTCCTGAGATTACATCGTTTGTGTGTATATATATGTGTGTGTCTGTCTGTGTGTACGTGGGGAGCGGTGGTGTAGCGATTAGCGCATTGCGCTACGAACCTGGCGACCCCAGTTCGAATCCCGCTCAACGGACACCACCCAGTGATGATTATCTGAACGGGTCCTGGGCCTCCACCCTAGGTCGACTCAGCCTCAAAATGAGTACCTGGTGCTGGTGCGGCGTGAAGTAACCATGGCCACCCACCTCCTCGTGTGCCGTGCCGGCCTGCATAGGCGCTGCTACTCGCTAACAGCACTTGCCCCTACAGTCTGTTACAGGCTACACGGGAGATCTTTGTCTTGTGTACAACAAAATAAAGACAAAGATTCCCCCCCTTACCGCCCGTATAGCCTCAAGAGACTGTTGGGGCAAGTGCTGTTAGCGAGTAGCAGCGCCTATGCAGGCGGGCACTGCGGCACACGAGGGGGTGGGTGGCCAACAGCACCACGCCCGGCCGCCTTTGTCTCCTTAGGTACTCATTTGTGGCCGAGTCAACCTAGGGGGAGGCCCCGGACCGGTTCAGACAATCGTCACCGGCAGTTGGTGGCCGTGATCGGGCATCGAACTCGGGTCGCCAGTTTTTTCTTCTTGGTTCTTTAGGTAAAGTCACGTAGAATAGAAATAAAATAATAAAAATAAAACATAATAAAATAATTCTCACGACGTTTCGGCCACAACGCAAGCAGCCGTCCTCAGGTGAAGAACAGGTCTGTCAAGGAGACAGTCTGAATGACACACCCCAGGCTTAGAGCGTCTTTTTTAAGCTGGGATGGAGGGGAGGGAGAGCGCCTTGACAAAATAATTTGCATATCAAGAGGAATTTAGCATATTTATGGAAAATGCAGATATGCGATTAATACTACTTGTGAAATGCGTAGGAGGTTTGGCGAGGGGTTTAAAGTCATTATTTCCATTCTACGTGACTTTACCGAAAGAACCAAGAAGATGAATCCCTGCAGTCTCGGGTCGCCAGGTTTGTAGCGCTAACCGCGCCACCACCACTCCCCACACAGCACACGTGCACACAGAGACAGTGGTGAGCTTTTACACGTGACGAGAGAAAAAACCGGGCAGACACGGACTCTTACTGGCCTAGGATGTGTACGTATATTAAAAAACAGTTACAATTTACAGCCCTTTGATCGTCGTCAAATCCACCGCTGGATGAAGGCCTCCCCCTTAGTTTCGACCATACTTCGCTGGTCGGTGCGGGTTTGCCGAGGGATGCCGCTGAGACGAAGGCACCTGGGGGGGTTCGCACCCCGAGTGAAGCGGCGACACCACACCAAGCAGTGTGGAGGGGAAGGGATAGCAGTGTCACAAAAATACATTGTTTTCCTGGGTAGTAAGTTTTATTTCCTAAGTGCTTACGCCTCAAAAGTACAGACCATGGCTATTATTCCCCCACAAACTTTGCTTTTGTGACCAGGACAGTGATATTTTGAAATTTACCTATTGTCAATGAGAACACGTGGTGTGCATTTGTGTCTCTTCGTTCACGTAAAGTCCTGCTTACAAAAGCAACGTTTGTGGGGAATAACAGCCATTTTTAAAAATACTTCTTAGGCATAAGCAATTAAAAAACATCGTGAAATTTGCACAAAGTATTGCCAGCCCGGAGGAATTTGTTGTTTTTCGTTGTTTATGTTTACGAGCAGACGCTGCGTCGACGAGCGCCGTCGTTCGCCACCACGGCGCTTGTGCCAGGCTAGGTGCACGTTGACCTTACAAAGACAAAGGCCCCCCCTCCCTCCCCTGTATAGCCTCAGACTGTTGGGGCAAGTGCTGTTGGTGAGCAGCGCCACGACCTGCCGCCTTTGTCTCCCCAGTGGCGATGTTTACTACACACCGCACCAGGTACTCATTTGAGGCCGAGTCGACCTAGGCGAGCGTCCAGGACCGGTTCAGATATCCGTCACGCCGGCGTTGGCCTTGAGCGGGAAATCGAACTCGGGTCGCCGGGTTCGCAGCGCAGCGCGCTGGCCCACTGCACTACCGCTCACACGCACATGCTCGCACGGAATGCACGAACACACACACTCACTCACACAAGCCGTATAGACAGAAGTACACACAGCGTGTAATGGCTCCTCCGCTCAGCACCCACACGGTAGAGGCCAGAGTAGCCACATCTGGGGTCTTGGCAGATGACCAGTCGCGGCATCCCCGCAGTTTGGGAAGTCTGAGCAACTCCATGTCGCCGTCCGGAAACCGGCACTCCCCCCACCCCCCCTCCACAAATGGGCACGCAACCTCCTCCTGCGATAGCTCTTCCTTGTTAACCGTCGCCATCGTAACCGTAGCCGTCACCCGCCATCATCACCATTACTACTATTGCCACCATCATCGTCGTCACCACCAATGACGTGCCAAGCACGGAGGCACGTGGGATCGGATTCCTTGAAACGCCACCGGCCTTCGGATGAATCGTCACGACGCGGGATCGCCGTGCACTTCCAGAATCGATCCCCTCCCTCGTCTCGGTTTAGTCAGGGCACGAATTCGCGGTGCGTGACGGCGCGTGGCAGTGCGTGGCGGTGCGGTGCAGTGCGTGGCGGTGCGTGGCAGTGCGGTGCGTGCCTTCGTCCGGTGGCGGAGGGTCTTACGGCACGAGGCGATTCGGCCAGATCGTGATGTGGCTTCACCCCACACCCCCACCCCCTCTCTCCCCACACCAAAAGTTGATCGCCAATCGTTATTTCCACTGCAGGGGGAAGAATAAAAAAAACCCCGTACAGCTGTTCGGCGAACGGGGTCGGTAAACGCGGACGTCACCACGACGCCCGCGCCAGGCTAGGTGCACTGAGGCTTCGTGAAGGCGTGGAAGGCTCACTTGACAGGTTAGCCGAACAGACCCGATGGGTTGACCCGACCGAGATGGCCGGAGCACGCACGCACACACGCCCCTTGCGCACACACGCACCTTGCACACGCACACACACACGCCCCTTGCGCACACACGCACCTTGCACACGCACACACACACGCACCTTGCGCACACACGCACCTTGCACACGCACACACACACGCACCTTGCGCACACACGCACCTTGCACACGCACACACACACACACCTTGCGGACGCGCGTGCCAGGGCAGTCCGATTGGTTCAACCCCACAGCAGTGACATGCCGCCGTGCTTGCAGCAGGGGCAGTTGGTGAAGGATCCCCCCGGATGCCAAAAGAAAATTTATCTGCAAATCTCTTCCGCCACGACCGCACGTAAAACACACACACCACCCGCCCCCCCCCCTCCACTGCTTGACGACGGCCTTGCCCCACACCACTGCTGTACACGAACCGTGGGGGGCGGGGGGGGGGGGGGGGGGGAGTCATCCGACCAGACCTCCCAACGCAGGTCTTACAAGTGTTGGCGGAGGTGGAGGGCTGTTGGGGAGCACGGAACCTGCAAGTTCGACAAACGGAGATTTTTCCGTTCAACGCGTAGGCTTCCGCCACCAATATCATCCGTAACGGGTTCTTTGGGTGAGATCGCGTAAATATTTACGCGAAACCCCAAAAAAACCCCTCTATGATGGGAGATTTTTCCCATAGGAACGTGGCATTGACGACGCTTGCCCGGAACCGCCAACGGACTTCCGAGCGCGTGCTGGTCACGGTGTCAACGTCGATGTCTCAATCGTGGAGCCGTCTCACGTTGTCCCCCCCCCGCCCCGCTTGCGAAACCGCATCCTCCTCCACCACCACCACCGCATCTTCCTCGTCCTCCACCTGGTGCGCTCCTCCTTCCTGGTTCACGTTGCTCCATACCCTGAGTGGTGTCGATGAACAATTCTCATCATTGATCACGAATCATCATCGAACGTGTTGCTGTTGTTGTTTTCAGAACGTACAAATGTTCGCGCACCCCTCCCATCCCACCGGCCGCCCCCCCCCCCTCTCTCCCGGGGGTTCCCGCGCTAGCGGTCGGTTGAGTGCTGGCGCAGGATGCAGCTCGGCGACTCCATCTCCTCCGGCGCGTCCCCCGCCGAGCCCTGCCCGGCGTCCTGCGCCGAGCCTTGGGCCGGCTCGGGCGTGAAGCGGAGAATCCGCGGCGGCGGGCGCAGGAGGCTGATGGGACAGAAGGCCGTGTCGCTCTTGATGACGAAGTTCACTTTGTTTTTGTCCGGGCAGAAGATCGACGGAATATCCTTGTGTTGCCTGCGCAGGGAGAGTAGTGGGGGGGGGGGGGGGGGCACACACGGAGGAGATGATGTCACCGTAACGACCGTCGTCACCGTAACGACCGTCGTCACCGTAACGACCGTCGTCACCGTAACGACCGTCGTCACCGTAACGACCGTCGTCACCGCGGACGAGGTCACACCCCGTTACCATCGTAGGCAATGGGTCATTTTAGAGAATCGGCCACATCGGCAGCCATTATTAAATGCACTGCTAGATGAAGGTGTGTGTATGTACTGTGAGTGTGTACTGTGTGCGTGTACTGTGTGCGCGTGTACTGTGTGCGCGTGTACTGTGTGCGCGTGTACGGTGTGCGCGTGTACGGTGTGCGCGTGTACGGTGTGCGCGTGTACGGTGTGTGCGTGTACGGTGTGCTGCGTGTACGGTGTGTGCGTGTACGGTGTGTGCGTGTACGGTGTGTGGCGTGTTACGGTGGTGTGCGTGTACGGTGTGTGCGTGTACGGTGTGTGCGTGTACGGTGTGTGCGTGTACGGTGTGTGCGTATGTACGGTGTGTGCGTATGTACTGTGTGCGTATGTACTGTGTGCGTGTGTACTGTGTGCGTGTGTACTGTGTGCGTGTGGACTGTGTACTTGTACGGTGTTGTGTGTAAACGGTGTGTGTGTACGGTGTTGGTGTGTACAGGTGGTGTGTGTACTGGTGTGGTGTACGGGGTAATGTACGGTGTTGTACTGTTGTGGGTACTGTGTGTGTGTACGGTGTGTGTACTGTGTGTGTGTACTGTGGTGTGTGTACCTGTGTGTGTGTACTGTGTGTGTGTACTGTGTGTGTGTACTGTGTGTGTGTACTGTGTGTGTGTACTGTGTGTGTGTACTGTGTGTGTGTACTGTGTGTACTGTGTGTGTGTACTGTGTGTGTGTACGGTGTGTGTGTACTGTGTGTGTACTGTGTGTGTACTGTGTATGTACTGTGTGTGTGTACTGTGTGTGTGTACTGTGTGTGTGTACTGTGTGTGTGTACTGTGTGTGTGTGTACTGTGTGTGTGTGTACTGTGTGTGTGTGTACTGTGTGTGTGTACTCTCTCTGTGAACTGGACTCTCATGGTGAACTGGGCTTCCAAGGCACGTCAGGGACGGCCCGAAACCGCCGTTGACCTCCGCGTGACCCCTTCCCCCCCAACCAAAACCGCAACCCCCTCCCCGTCCCCGCGTTTGCAAAGTGCACACTTCCCTTCCGCAAGGACATTTAATCTCCCGTCGTTGCGCACCGCAACCCGGCCCAGCGTCATGGCTTACACTTCCCCAACGCCAGCCAGCCCCCCCCCCCCCTCTCTGTCGACCACATCACCATCATCGTCGTCATAATAACACAGAGAGAGGGGGGGGAGTGGTGGCGCAGCGGTTAACGAGCACACAGCGCCATGGGGACCCGACAACAGCAGAGTTGTATTCTCAGGCGCGCGAGTTGCGAATCGGTCCTTGCGAGCGATACCGAAACTGGTCCCGGGGTTTTCCCCTAGGTCGACTCGGCCTTAAATGAGTTCCCGGCGTGCCGTGCGTTCATCGGCTGCGGAGACAACGGAGTGGGTCCGTGCAAAGCCACCCGTGTGGCCCTTTTGAGTGCTGACCTCACGGCGACCTCCGGATCACCTGGACGCTACCTACGCCGCAACTTGCGATTATTATCACCGGTTAGTTGTGTCTGCATTGTGTCTGCAGTGCCGTATTCACTGCATTTCTATTGGATTTAATTCATACTTTGCAAGCGTGGCTTACAATTTATTTTGTTATACGTACGGCGAGATGTTAACTACCTCGCCTGATATACAGGAGGTCGTGGGTTTGGAGTTTGCATGTTCTCTCTCTCCCCGTGGTCACGTGGATTTTTCCCTTCAGCTCCTCCGGTTTTTCCCTCCACATTTAGAATCAATGTCGCGCGTTCAGAGCAATTTGGTTGCATTGGTGGTGGTCAGGTCGCTTCTGAAAAAGAACTACAACTCAGTTCAGTGGGGCCGGACACCTGGTGAAAGGTGAAATAAAAACATTGTTTTACTAGTGATAGGTTTTTACCCTTTCAACTGGTACAAAAACTGACACCTTTATACAAGGGATCATGTTTGCAATAACCACAACACAAGCAGTGAAAATGCAAACAAAAAGAAACAACTCTGATGATAATGATATGCACTGTCCTTGAAGTTGATTGGTCCACACCCGAGACAACTTTTCTTAGAGCCCAGTCTCACATGGTGTTGGACCAGATGACGCCAAAAGTTGTTTCTTTTTGTTTGCATTTTGACTGCTTGTGTTGTGGTTATTGCAAACATGATACCTTGTATAAAGGTGTCAGTTTTTGTACCAGTTGAAAGGGTAAAAACCTATTACTATATTTTGCCACTGGTAAAGGAGATTTCTCAGTGTAAATTGTTTTACTAGTTCAGTTTGAGATTTTTGAGATGGAAAAAGGCGCTCGATCAAAGCTGACATCGTCGTCACCGCGATCACCACCACGAGTCCAGCATTGCCGACCCGTCTCCACCGCGGCGGTGACGTCAATCCCCGGCTCATCCGGCACCGCGGGTGGGGGTGGTGGGGGGCAGGGGGCAACTCTTGGCGCGACCGCGGGAGAAACGCCACCGCTGCCGTCACCGCACCATGCACGGTCCGTTGCCGCGCGTCCGCCGTTACCGCGTGGGCGCGGTGAAAAACACCGGGGGGGGGGGAGGCGATGGTGACAAATGCATTGTACCCCCGTGCTTGAGGTTCAAATAAATGACCCGGTTTTTTTTTTTTGTGGCTCTGGGGTGCGCCCAGTAATCAGGGCCACTCTTCCTCTGCCCGGAAGAGTGGGGGGTGGGGTGGGGGGGGCGGGGAGGGTTCGGGGGGGGGGGGGGCGCGGGGAGGGTTCGGGGGGGGGGGGCGCGGGGAGGGTTCGGGGGGGGGGGTGACGGCGAGCGGTCACGTACGTACGCGTGTTTTAACTTCTTTCGCACCGTACGTAGCCAACCGTGCTAATATCGGAGGTGCGGGGGAGAGACAACAAACTGAAGACAAGAAGCAGTTCTGTCAATCTCAAAACCGCTCCACCCACTCAGCCAGCCACCCACCCACTCAGACAGTCACCCACTCAGCCAGCCACCCACCCACTCAGCCAGCCACCCACCCACTCAGCCAGCCACCCACCCACTCAGCCAGCCACCCACTCACTCAGACAGTCACCCACTCAGCCAGCCAGCCACCCACTCAGCCAGCCAGCCACCCACTCAGCCAGCCACTCACTCACTCAGTCAGCCAGCCAGCCAGCCAGCCACTCAGCCAGCCACCCACTCACTCAGACAGTCACCCACTCAGCCAGTCAGCCACTCACTCAGCCAGCCAGCCAGTCACCCACCCAGCCAGTCACCCACCCACCCAGCCAGTCACCCACCCAGCCAGTCACCCACTCAGCCAGCCACCCACCCACCCACCCACTCAGCCAGTCACCCACTCAGCCAGCCACCCACCCACCCACCCACTCAGCCAGTCACCCACTCACTCGACCAGTCACCCACTCAGCCAGCCAGCCATTCACTCAGCCAGCCACCCACTCACTCAGCCAGTCAGCCACACTCACTCAGCCAGCCAGCCACCCACTCAGCCAGCCACCCACTCAGACAGTCACCCGCTCCCGGTGGCTTCCTCATATCGCGAGGAGGAGCGTTCCTAGACCGGCCGCAGAAGCGTCGCGATGCGGTGACCACCGTCTTGGTTTCGATGGCGAGCAACTGAAAGCCGCTGCCGCAAGGATGACCGAGTTTACGCGACGATGGTTTATGGACTCCTTGACGAGATCAGCTCAAATGAAGCGCGGTGAGAGAGGGGATGCCCTCTGGCCATGGGAACGTGGAGTTTCCGCCGGTCACTCGCCCGCGCCGGGGCGGCCCAGAGGAGATCGACGCCGTGACCGAGGGCCCCCCTCCGCTCGAGAAGGAGACAAAACACCGAGGCCGGAGGTGTAAATTCCACATTGCTATACCGGGGGCCAAAGTGGTACCTATTCTATTGACCCCAGGAGGATGATGAGCAGAGTCAAACCCTCCCAAACAGGATTTAATTCATAAAGGTGTTATTGTTGTTAGATCGCGTAAATGTATAAATGTGTCGTTAAACCTGCCACCACCCGACACAGCCAACTAGTTAAAAGGTTGTCACGTAAACATAACGTGGCAAATTCGTTACTAGTACAGCACTAGTGTATAGTAGTGTATAGTGTAGTGTGTAGTGTAGTGTATAGTGTTGTGCATAGTGTGGTATACTAGTACAGCACCACCGGTTGTGTGTTGGAGAGCCAAGCCACAACATTTACAATCTGAGTACGACGTTTCGCCAGTAATTACAACCAGCTTCATCAGGCGGACAGCAACCACATTTGTGCGTCGGGTGGTGGCGAGTTTAACGACACATTTATATATTTTACGCGATCCGACCCAAAAAAAAAGCCTGTATTATGGATGATATTTGGTCGCGAAAGCCTCCTGCTGCTGCGTGTTAAACCGAGGATTGAATTCGCAAGTAGAATTGGGCTAGCGGACCCGTGGGGCAGGCACCAGGGGAGCGAGTGCACCGCTGTTGCTGCTGGCGTGAGGGCGTGTGATGGCGTGCGTGCGTGCGTCTCTCACTGCGTCTCCTCGAAGGCCGTGACGCGCTCGCAACCCTCGGGAGGCTCCCGCATGAACGTGTAGCTGTGGTTGGGCTTGGGCGACGAGACGTACTTGGGCAGCGGGGAGCCGCCCCTCCCCTCTGGCCCCCCGCCCCCACCTCCCCCTCCTTCTGGTGGGGGGAGAGGCGTCATCATCACGATCACAACCACCACCACGAACTCGTTAGCACCATCACAAGCAACACCATTGCTACTGTCAACATCACAAACATCTTCATCATCACAATCGTCGTCACCATCATCGCCGTCGCCACCATCACACATACACAATCATAAACATCATGATATTACCATGGTCACCATCACAATCATCACCATCCCCCATCCCCCATGTCATCATCGCCATCATGATGATCATCACCACCAGCACCGTCACCAGCAGCGTTCGTTACACTGCGTCGCTGTAGACGCCACGACTTCACGAATCACCGGACACAAGTGACGCACACAGTGCCACTCCAACCTCGGCTACCGTCCCGACATTCCCCTGCCCCGTTGGCACTACCGCTGCCCACCTCACGCGTGCACTCACGCGCGCACGCGCACACACGTGCGCGCACACACACACACGTGCGCACACACACACATGTACACTCACACCTCACTGCACTCTGCAGAACAGGATAGGGGTGGCGGGAGATCACAAGGACCCCACGCAGAGAGGCTCCCGAGTCAGGCATCGAACCCAGGCCCCTTGTTTCGCTTGCGAGGCCACAACAAGCGTTGCCGCTGCACTGCTACCGCGGCCATCGCCCGGACAAAGATTCCCCGCCCCGTGTAGCCCTCGACAGACTGTTGAGGGCAAGTGTTGTTGGCGAGCGCCTATGAAGGTCGGCACTGCACTCAATGGGTTGGGATGGCTGGCACCACGGCCCGGCCGTCTGTCTCCCCAGTGGCGGTGTTCACCACACACCGCACGAGGTATGCCGACCTAGGGGAAGCCTAGGAGAGGCCCAGGACCCGTTCAGATAATCGCCACCGGTGTTGGCCGTGAGCGTGGCTCGAACCTCGGGTTGTCGTGTTTGTAGCACAGCGGAGCGCTAACCGCTACGCTGCCACTTAACACAACAACACGCACAACAAGCACAACGCACGGACAACAACACGCACCTCTGTTCACATAATCGACCGTGGCGAGGGCCGTCAATGTGGATGACGACGTCGATGACATCACAACAGGCGCCAGCTGCTGCTGCTGCTGCTGCTTCACCGTGAGCGCCGCGGCACCGTGGACGGGCGGAGGCGGAGGAGGGGGAGGGGAGCGCCCGGCGAGGTGGTTGCTGTAATGCTGCTGTTGCTGCTGGTGGTGGTGGTTGTGATGGTGGAGAGCGGCAGCAGTCGCGGCGGCGGGAGGGAGCGGGGGGAGCAGCGCGGGCGACGCGGGGAGCGAGCGGCAGCGTTCGCCGTCGAGCGCTGACGGTGTCTGCGTGTCCACGCTGCGGGTCGCCGCGTTGTTGCCGCTGCCGCCGCTGCTGCCACTGCTGCTGCCGCCGATGCCGGAGTTGGAGCTGCACGGTCTCGTCGGGAGAGGGGCCCGGCGTCCATCCGGAGCGTCCTGCTGCGAACGCGTGGATGGGGGGGGGGGGGTGGGGGGGGAGATGCGTGGGGACGCGGGCAGACAACGACGACCGTCAACGCTGTGGACCGTTCGGCGTTGGGCATCAATGAGCATGGGCGCATGAAGGACGGCCATCGCCCGAAACGTCGCCCCTCTTAGAATTACATTTCTCCACTCGAGGCCAGGTTGGCGAGATGTTATCTCCACCGCCCGTCATGCAGGAGGTCGTGGGTTCGATCCCGACCCTGACACCTGCTGTAGATGTGGAGTTTGCGTGTCTCTTTCTCTCATCATCATCATCACGGTGGCTAGGAGATGTTAACTACCTCGCCCGTTATGCAGGAGGTCGTGGGTTCGATCCCAACCCTGACACCTGCTGTATATTTGGAGTTTGCGTGTCTCTCTCTCTCTCCCCGTGGTCTCATGAATTTTTTTCCGGGACCTCCGTTTTTCCCGCTCCACGTTTAGAATCGACATCACACGATTACAGACTATTTGGCCGCTACTATCAATGTCCACGTGACGACAAGCCACTTCGTCGGGCACGTCACTTGCATCCAGGTCGCTTTTGAATAAAGAGCTGCGTAGCTCAGTGGGCCTCAACCTGGTGAAATAACAACTTGTGGTTTGTTTTTCACGTCACACGGTTAGGGGGAGGGCGTAGTGCCCGTGGGGAACACGAGCCGGTGGGCGTGGCGGGAGCTCGACACGCTTGGCGCTGGAGGGGCGAAGATGGTCCCTGGCCACGCTGGGAGGGCTCGGCGTGAAACAACAACAACGCTGACAACAACAACAACGCTGACAACAACAACGCTGACAACAACGCTGACAACAACGACTACAAACCATGACGATCTTCGTGGACGCGACGCGGCGACGCAACTCATCTCTCCCGGCCTCCCGAGCCATTACCCCCCCCCCCCCCACTTTGAAAAACGGAGATGCTCAAAGCAACGGCCGCTTCTTTTTCCGCATAGAACAGAGCGAGGGCGGTCAAACTGCATGCTCGCTGCAATTGTGTGTTTCGTTTGTTGTTGTACCCTGCTCCCCCCCCAGCATCATTATTATCAGGGTTGGCTACGTAAGTGGGAAGGAGGTTTAACGCACGTAGCCGCCACGCTGCCGCCCACCCTGCCCGGTGAGAGAGGGGGAGAGGGGGGGTAGAGAGAGAGGGGGGGTAGAAAGAGGGGGGTAGAGAGAGGGGTCCCCTGCGTTGCCACTCACCCGCGGGGAGTCGTGGCACCACGCCTCCTGCACGAACACTCGCTCAATCTCCTGGTTCAGCGCCTCCACGCTGGCGCGCAGACGCGGCAACACCCCCTTGCCCAGGGTGGGGGCCGGGGCCGCCCCCCCGCCGCTCCCGCCGGGCATGCTGGGAAACCCCGCCAGGGCGATGGCCATCGGCTTCGGCATCGCCACCTGCGGTGTGCGGACGCGGCATCGTCCGTGGGAGCTCAACGCCGACGCGTCTCCAGGTGTGGGACGACTCGGACGCTGGGACGTCAAAATGCTCCGCGCAAGTTGCGCGCCCGCCACTTGTGAAGCACGCAAATGCATCCACCCCCCCCCCCACCCCGGCGCAGTATGGGGTCAGGCGAGAACGGTAAATGGCACGCAAAGACAAATGTAAAGATCCCCCGTGTAGCCTGCAACAGACTGTGGGGGCAAGTGCTGTTAGCGAGTAGCAACTTATAAAGGCCGGAACGGCACACGAGGGGGGTGTGGGTGGCCAGCACCACGCCCGGGCGCCTTCGTCTTCCCAGTGACGATGTTTACACCGAACCAGGTAGTTATATGAGGCCGAGTCGACCTAGGGGAGGCCCAGGACAGGTTCAGACAATCGTCACCGGTGTTGGCCGTGAGCGTCAATCGAACCCGTGTCGGTCGCCAGGGGTTTGTAGCGCAGTGATGTTGACAACTCCGCCACCGCTCCACACGACAACAAACAAAACAACGGCCGTGACGGTGACGTCATCACGGCGCTCGTGCCAGGCCAGGTGCACTTTTGAGGGCCACGTGAAGAGGGGCAGGAGGTCAAAAGGTGCCGTGCCACGCAAACAAGCATTCCGCCCTCCGGCGCGGCCATCCCGAGTCGTCTGGGGCGCTCCGGCACGCACCGGCGGCTGGGCGCCGACGGTCGGCGGCGGTGGCGGCCCCGGTGAGCCCGGTGAGCCCGGTGAGCCCGGCGAGCAGCGGAGAGACGGCCTCCCGCTCCAGGCCGCTCTGCTTGCTCCGCTGCAGCTGCTGTCGCAGCTTGGCGATCTGCGGGTGACAGAGCGAGGTGGGGGGGGGGATAACCGGGGGGGGGGGGGGGGGTGAAATGGGGGCAGGGT